TGGCTTCAAGCATGAGGCGATCGCGGAGATCCTCATCAATCGAGGATCCGAAATCCGAGGAATTCTCCCTGCAAACATGCCTTTCTATACGCAAACGGTGTCGGCTGTTCGTAATAAACTGACTGAGATTCGAACTCAAAACCCCCAACTGTGGTCAAGAGAAGAGGGATGGGTCCGGCAGGCTGTCGTGGTACACCTTCACAACATGATGCTCGATTTTAAGGAAGACGGATGAAGCCGTCGCCGGCACGCCGCGCTTTTGTTCCAATGAAACTGCATCTAAGGAGGCTTGTCTCCAAGCCCACCACAGATATGAGATCGCAAAAAGCAGGTAGACTGAAACCAGAAGACATTATTAGCAATAGAGATGATACTTAAATAAGAAAATCTCAAGGACTATAACAGAAAGCGACTTTGCAGGGAAACAACCTGGCTAAATTCAGACTCGGCTTATCACGTGAGTAGTACATGCAGCTATATACACTATTCAAACTTTGAAAGAGCCAACATATGGAGGAAGAAGACACACCCATGAGAGTGGACTTTCACTTTGATGTCATATGTCAATTTATAATGTCACCTGGTTAGCAATAAGAGCCTGAACGTAAAAAAGAACATGGCGGCATATTTCAACGGATATAGGTTTTCCGATACCGAAGCTAAAGGTCGGGCAAAGAACCATTCTCATCCCACTTTGAGTCCTAACTACCCCGCCGTTGGGGCTTTCATCTCCTTCCTCCCGTCACCTTTTGCATCTATGTTGATATTGTAGAGCTACTCAATTTTCAAATGAAGGTAACATCCCAGGGTCATCCGTTTTCTGCAAACATATATGCTAAGGTGTCTTTATATTTTTAGCACGATCTTATCAGTCCGGCCACGTCCTATCTCAGCTATGCCACCAACTAAAATTAACGACGAAGCCCTTGCGAAGTTGAAGGATTTGGCAACATGGCTTTACGTTAGTGCCGAAATGAAGCAAGAAAAGAGCCTTATCAAATGTGTGGACGTGGATCGTTATAAGAAGACGCTCCCTGTACTAAAAGCATTGGGGTATGACCAAATACCGGTAATATTCAGAACAACAGCATGTTAGTGGGCTATAGCTGAAAAATTCACAGGGCCATGGTTATCATATTTACCGCACGTCTGGGGAGACAGAAATCATTAAACGACCTGATCTGAAGACACTTTTCTTTCCTTTGTCTGTCGGTTCCGGGAATGACAGTGTAGCGTCAGGGGAGGTACAGGTGGCAGGCGAACTACTCACACCTGGCAATTTTATTGAATTGAATAGCACCTTGACTTTCACCGCGCAGTTGGATTGTCTTATTGTCTATTTGCCGGAGGGAAAATGAATAGCATAAATGTACTAGAACTCATCTTGTATGCGGTGAATTGATGTTATCAAGATTATTATGATACATGCAGACACTTGAATGTCCGAGTATCAAATGCTTATTGATGCCACTTTGGAATGGTCGTGATGCCAACGACGCTCTTCATTTCCCCAATCTGTTATCGCCCCGAAGTCGAGATTTGGTCGAGAATCAAATGTGCGAGAATAATCCGGATAAGGAAAGCTTGCGCTAACGAGATCGATCTGTGAAGTCACGTTGAGTGCAGTCTGGAAGTTCGCGCTTATATGATCAGTCTGCGATGTGGCATCGAATCCGTTCTCCAAGCCTACAGAAGGGAAGTCCGCACTCGTGGGGTCAATCTGTGCAATGGCGTCGAATGAATTTTGGAAATCTGCAGAGGGGAAGTCCGCACTCGTGGGGTCGATCTGTGCAATAGCCTCGAGAGCATTCTGGAACTCTGTAGGAAGAAACCCTGCACTCAATGGATCGATCTGTGGCGTAGCATTGAGTGCATTTTGTATTTCTGGAAAAGGCAGTAACCTTTCAGAGTGATCCTCCGTCATAGTAGCAACCCCAAGGTCGGACCTTGGAGCTTTGGAAGAAGTCCGCATATCGTTGATAATGCTGCCTACTTTTGCTTTGAGTCAATCCCGAACTTAAATGATTTTGTTGACTTACTCTGCCCACCCGACTCCTGCTTCCTTTTTTTCCTGGACCTCATTGCTGACTTTGTCAATGGCCGTTTGAGCGATTCATGTGAAGATCCGGACTGAGCTAGTTTATCGGCAATGTGTTTACCTAAGACATCAAGACCCTGCGTTTTCACAATTTGATCTATGCCGTTCACTCGAAATCTTTCAATGGCAGCTGGAATATACCGAGAATAGTGTCTGTCTGTGTATCTAAATATCGTTTTATGTTAGCTCCGAACGTGAATCTGCCAAGATTATGCAACTCACTCTCTTTCTGTAATTTCCAAAGGTAACGCAAGTAAATAACCAGGTCCGCCTAGTTCTTCTGCCCATCTATTGTACTTTTGACCAATTCGAACATAGTCATCCAGACATTGCTTGAGATCATCGTCACCTAAGCTCCGTGACGGATATTTCTTCCTGATCTCATTCGCGAGCTGAGAGGAAGCATTTCTGCACCATCGTTCACCTGTGTGATAATCAAGACGGACGGCTAATAGGTAGAAATTGCGGAGCTTGAATCGTCGGTAAAGCACGCAAAGCTCAGCACGAATTCCAGTGTTCTTATCTTCGTCATGTATCTCGAAGAAGACATCGGGCATGTCATCCGTGGCTCGGGTGAGATCTCGGCCAATCTCGCTGAAAAATGTTTGAGGGTTTTGCATGCACTCTGCAAAAATGTCGGAGAACTTGGACGAAATGAGTATTGGAGAGTTGGCAAAGCTCGTATTTCCTAGATCCCCATTTCTCATTTTCTGACTTTTTGACGTACATCGTAAGTCAGATTAAAATAATTTTCGCATTCTTCAACGGAGAGCTTCGTCTGGACTTTGTGGAGTGTATGAGAAAGCTGAATGAGGATTCCATTGAGCTCTGCGTCAATTTGCTCTAAACTGCTTGTCATGTTTTCAAAAGTGAAGATTTCATTCAGGCCAGGCTTCAGTGTAAAGCGGTACTTAATAACAATTTGTCCAGCTGCAACTCAGGAGCACAGCCCCCAAATGACCCTTACCCTCACAAAGTCTAGGCCGCGAGTGGCCAATAAAGTGTCATATCCTGGCGCTCGTACACGTGTTCCGCATAAATCTCAAAACAGTTTAGCCTGATCCCAAAAGACTAGGGTGTGCATTGATGGTCATTCTTCCAACCGCTGATGAAGGGCTAAAAAAGACTAAGCCGTGTTTCCCCAGTCGTTTTCATATTCCAGCCGCCCCCTCTTTGTCACAAGTCGTCCATTCTACCTTCCAAATCGAGCCCCCTTTTTTAAATAAATACATATATTCTTCTGTTATGCAGTTTAACTGTTCAAGTATCATATTTAGGGCTTAGGGCTTAAGCCCTAAAGCCCTAAGCTACTGCCTTGGTGAAAAAGGAAGGCACGAAGGAAGATGTCGAGAAGGGGCTGAGCGAAGCTGCGGCTTCCGTCAAACGCTAAATGTGACTTTGTCCTTAGGAGGTCCCAACTAGGTAGACCCGAGAAGCAACATTACACAATTTCACTATTATCCGTCGTACTTGGAAAATGCCAACCAATAGCTCTCTGTTGCGAACATATCTGTGACTCTCTAGCACGAAGATAGCTGAGAACTAGGTGGATTGCGTTTATAATAATTTCTTGCGTGCAGTAGACATGGCTGGTACCTCGCTATTAACTTGCTTAGCGGGTTCACACATTCACCCGACTTGACAAAAATATAAAGCATAGAAGAAAAATATGGTTGAGGAAGCAAAGATGCAATTGACGTACACCATTCTAGACTGATAAAATTCCCAGCGAGTGGTAATGTTTGTAAACATGGCTTGATAGCTTATGTCATTAATATATTACGTCAGCATTGGTAGCAGTCACGACATTTGTCCGAACGCGTTAACCGTGCCAAGCGCCCAACTACCCAGGATGGGTGGTTGGGCGCTTGGCACGGTTACAACGCGGACGAGAGAAATTTATAAAGGACACTGCCTGACGCGCGAAAATTCTTTTCGTTTTCACCAAGAAATGAGAAACCTCCAATATATCATTCGCCTTTTCCACTTTACTAGACTTTCTATCACGACGTGCAAAGTGAGTCCGGGAGCTGTACACCATTTTTCGACTCAAGGGAAGATGCCAGACTCTCATTTATTTGAATATACGTCCGGGAGATGGATGTACGTAGGATTGTCATGGCTTTGCTTTGCCTTCCCCTTCCCCTTCCCCTTCGCTCTTGCATTTTTTTGCTTTGACCAAGGTATCATTGACTAACGATCAACTTAAGCTACAATGACCATCTACGGCAATCTGAAAGAAGACAGGCTTTCAACGTCCCTGAACTCAAGCGACTTGCAGCAGTATCAGTTCACCGGAAGGAAGAAGACGTCTCCACTTTCGAAAAGCTAGCTGAGGGGGGGTTCAATCGAAGTTTCCTTGTTACTATGAAAGATGGCTTCCAACTTGTTGCACGTATCCCTTACCCGGTCACCGAGCCAAAATTCTTCGTCATCGCGAGCGAAGTTGCCACGATGGATTTCCTCCGTTCTCAAGGTATACCTGTTCCGAAGGTCTTCGGGTACTCTGCCAGGTCGGACAACGCTGCGGGAACAGAATACATATTCATGGAGCTCGTACAGGGAAATAATTTAGGTGATATCTGGTTTGAATTATCGGAAAAAGAGAGGATAAATCTGGTGTTTCAAATTGTTCAGATGGAGTCTCGACTCCTTTCTCTACGTTTCCCAGCAGGTGGGAGCCTTTATTACTGCGAAGATTTGCAAGATAAATCCAGTTGGATGGACATTTCAAGCACTTTGCCGACTAGCAAACGTCATTTCTGCATTGGTCCTGATACAACACTTGGATTATGGTATGGCAAACGACGTGATTTGCCGGCTGGGCGTGGGCCATGTAAGTGCTTGTTTCCCTAGCTTTCCTCTCCTCCCCATCAAACTCGTGTCAGCATCGCAATGTGTCAGTAACTAATTCTTGAAGACATCGATTCTTTAGCGGCCCTGACTGCCGGTGCCAAGAAAGAGATCGCATACCTCACGAAGTTTGGGCGACCTCTGCAACCTCTTCAGCGTCTTCGTCGAGAGATCTACAACTACCAGGCACAGTCACCTCTTGAGCATATTGCGAGTCTGGAAAAATACCTGCAGATTGCGCCTTATCTTATACCACAGAATAATTCAGCCATCACCCGTCCTGTTATGCGCCATCCTGATCTCCAGCCTAACAACATATTCGTCTCTGATAAACTGGAAATCACTGGCCTGATTGATTGGCAACATAGCGTGGTTCTTCCACTTTTCCTGCAATGCGGAATTCCAAACAGTCTACAAAACTATGGTGACGAGGTCTCAGAATCATTGCAGATCCCATGTCTTCCAGACAACTTCAACAATTTGGAAGAAAGGGAGCAATTTGAACAAGCCGAACTTCTACGCAGGCGCCAACTCCACCACTTCTATGTGAATTTCACGGCAAAGTACAATTCAGAGCATTACGATGCTTTAACATCTGATTTGAGTACTCTAAGGCGAAGGCTCTTTCACCACGCCAGTGATCCTTGGGAAGGTGATAATACGAGCCTCAAAGCTGATCTTATCACTCTTTCAAGGGATTGGGCAAAGGTGGATCCTCAGGGGAAATCACATTGCCCAATTTTTTTTTCAGAGGAAGAGTCGGGTAAATGTCTACAGTTGCAGAGCGCGCAAACTGAAGCAGACGAACAACTGCAGGCTTGTCAAGAAGCAATTGGAGTGGGACATGAGGGGTGGGTGCCTTTTGCATTGTATGACGAGGCAAGACGACGCGAAAGGAATCTGTTCGCGGACGCCTTAGACGCGGCTGAATCACTTGAAGAGAAAACAAAAATAAAAGAAAACTGGATTTTCGGAGACTTTTGCGAGGAAGATTATTTGTGAAAATGAGAAGATCTTCTCACTCTTTGTCTCTTATTACGCGTCTGAATCTCCAAATTTTATATTTTTGCTTAATCACGAGACCGCCATATATGACCCAATTATTTTCAAGTCTCACCTAGCACTGTAATAAGACGGTATGAGAAAAAATTTTCTCTTCTTTCATCAGGGCAAGTGGTACTACCCCAGAAGAATTTCCCTTGCTACAAAAATGTTGCTCGTGGTACCATTCTAATGACCTGTCTGTTTACCATAATTCATGGCCGCTCACGAGCCATATAAGAATTTGAGGGATATTATATAGACAAAAACACCAAATATACTGTTATGGCGCCTGAGAAGGCCAAGTTTCCGCCCCACCAGTGTTAGGTAGTTTCGATAGCTTCTTGCTTTTCCCTGTGGCCGTTTCCCGATGGAGGGTTATGAAAGGGACTATCGCGGCCCAATGATACAATATAAGAAACTCTTTATAGGATACACGCTGACATCTTATATTTTTTGCTCTAATGAAGCGATTGACCTTTTATTTGATATAAATGGATACCTTAGGGCTATCCTTTATCATAATCATTTTACCATCTGCTTTATTCTTATATTCTGTGCATTTTACTGCCATTCGTTCTTCTAACTTTCGACCCAGAAATCAGAACTCGCAAACTCGTAGCTTAGAGCATTCTCCCTTCTACAAGCAAGTTTCCAAGCTGTAAAATCATCCACGCTTTGAGCATCGAAGGGCTAATGTTTATTCAAAAGAATAAGTCGCTGCGCACAGCCATGTGCTGGAATCAATACTATACCTATCTCTCCTGTGGAAATACGAAAGTGTTCGCGGGCTTCTTGCCCTGTTTTAAGCCTGGTTGCAGCAAAATCGTTGAAAAAAATCAAGACCTTAGACAGGATTGCGGTAATTGTGGCAGATGCGGCAAAGGATCAAAGATTGAAACTATTGAAACAACCAACTCCAACCTGTGAAAGCAAAGATGTGATAGAGCGGATCGTGGTTGTGATCGATAAAGAGGGTGTATCTGATTCAGGGCTTTGGTATAAGAAGGGGTTTGACGTTTTACCTGGAATTACATCTTACCATTAGATAGCAATATACAACTGCCCTCTTTTTGTTACATATCATTGCTTCCCTGCTAAAATTTAACTGAAACCTCCTGGGACTCACAAAATGGAGTCATGCCTCTCCGCAGCGATTTCTTATCTCATGGTTTTGAAATTAGAAGTAAGCTTTCTGTTCCACACCGAGAAAATTACTAAAAATGTGACCAGCCCTGGGACACCTTGCATATCCGGCAGGAGGATGAACAAACAGTGAGGATAGGAGCAATTGGATGGAAGCTAGACATCCCTCTCCACGAGATGAAAGGCTCAATATTTGGGTGCGCATTCCTTCTTGATCATGGTGGATATTTTTGGTGCACAATTTGTCATGCACTGCAGCATTGGAGGAATCCAGAGTGGAAGCCACTGTCCGGAACCGACGGGTTGCGGGTTGCCAGAAAAACCCAAAGAGGGATACTATATCTATGCCCAGTCCTTTATAGCAATACTTCGGCTTTGGTTCCTTTTTCGATGCTGGAAATGACAACACCTGGTCGAATAATGATATGGCAGGCTGAGCATCCGGACAGCCAGTACACGCCCAAGCTCAAAGCCGAACTCCTCCTTCAACTTCTCAAAGCTGCTTTGATTGGAAATGGGAAATATTTTTGGCGGTTGTTACTCGGGTTTGCCATTTTTGGGCAAAGGTTCTTGTTGGTTGTGACTGCCATGACCCAGAGCATGGTACACACCGTGTGGCAACGGACCACTGCAAATTCTTTCGAGGCCCTTGAGTGATTATGTGCCGTAAATATTCTGCCTTTGTCCTTTTCTTGTTTTTGGATTTATTACATAAAATGTCAATTACATTCAATGATTATATAAAACCTTCAAAGTCCCTCATCTCGTTGTTCATTTTCCTGAGCACTGTCCTGGTATGGTTCTCGACCAATCTTAGTTTGCTATAGCGTCTGATCTCACTTCTTCTTTCCCTTGCAGGGGTTCTCGAAACACGGAAGCAAGCCTGCATGTTCCTTCCACTCTTCGCAGGATAGGTAAACATAACGAACAATCCAAGACGTTGAACAGAATCTAAAACTTTATCAAATCTACAAATTATCTCAGATAATGTAGGTTTGATAATCCGGCCCAGACTCACGGTTTGCTGTTCGGTATCAGGAGTAGATTATTGTGCAATTTGCAGGACGTTCGCATTCTCCAATGCTTCTTTTAAATCAGCATCAATTCGTGGAAAACTACTGGCTGGGTAATTAAGATGATCCTGGCCGATTGGAATTGAGTAAGAAATTGGAAGAACATCAATGTGCCACAGTTACCTTCTCCTTTCCTGTCATTTCCTTTGCCAATCGGACGTGAAGTCAATGAGTACTCCGATAACAAGGTGCCTTTGAGGATGAGGGTGCATCAAAATGACCCGGTCCCCCAGATTAAACACGCCCATCAATCGCTGATGTACTACGTCGACATCTTCGACATCTCCCTTGCAAAGCTGATATCGGTACGTGCTGTCCGCAATTATCACAGTTTCCAAGCAACGGTGTTTCGATAAACAAGTCGAGAAGTTCTTTGACAAACTCGGGCACGCTCTGGGCAACACTGTTCTAGGCCATATTAACAGTATTCTCCTGGAGATAATTCGAAATATTGATCCGCGCAAAACGCGCTACGACTTCTTTCAAGGGTCTGGGTGCTGTAGGAGGTAAAGCATATACTTCCGGAATGGATTCAATGAATTCGATGGGATCGGATAAGAACTGAGGTCTCTTCTGATACTTCTCAACACATAATGCGAGTAGACCCTTGATGATGTATTTGTCAGGCAAGATAAAGACTCGGACGTGAAGGTGAAGAGCAGAGCATGACACTGGCTGCTCTGTTCTAGAGGCCTGGATTGTGTTGCTATAGTTTTCCGTGTAAAAGAAGCTGACTAGCTTTCCAACTATGATTTTTGAATCTTCGTTCAAGTCAAAAAGAGCAGATGACGCTTCCTAGACGATTGAGAACTTGTTCTCGGCAGTCCTATGGTAGATTGCTGACCTTGAAATTGCCAGTACAGGCGGCATGAAGTACATCAGATTGAGAGAAAACCACTACTTTGTGTACGTTGAAACTTTCTCCCTCGCAGATAAATGTCAGATCTGTGAATTCGCCGGACTTCTGACATCTGATACTGTGTAAGCCTAGCCACACTGTACCATATAATCTCCATTAGTTAAATTTGTTCACGAACCGTGAAAGAGCTCCTAAGACACCCGAAGGTTGTGAGGAAATATCCATTTCCTTTCTTGGAAGTTGTATTTACGTTCAGAATTATTGTGGTGACATTTAATGTAAAATGTTCATGGCTGTATTACTGTCGTCAATAAGCAACATTAGATTATACAAAGCGGTCGAAATTTCTAGACATTTAAGCTTAGTAACCCAATGCGCCTCCGCCGCTTGCTTTATTAGGGTCCATGTTTGCTGTTCCCATTTAAGTGGCGAAAAGCATAACTTACGACTGGATTAACAACAGGCTTACTACCGAACTCAACGCATATTGCGAAAGCTGATGGAAGGAGAAGAAGATCTAATCAAGTGTCTCTCCGTCGAGAGCTCAGCGCAAGCGCCAGCTGTGAAGGTTTTCCGATACTACTTAACCGTCGAGGAAGCAACTCAAATTATTCACCAATTTCGATCTGGTTCTTGGAATAAGGATCGTCAGGTACTGTGGAGTGGTATGATGCGTGAAGATGCTCAAAAATGGGCCGATGAGCATGAAATGCAGACTCTGACCACAGCCATGGGTCCACTGATGATGCCAGAGAATCCGCTTTGTCTTAAATCTAAAAAAACTTCACATGCGTGGAGTCAATATATATACACGGTGCCTCGGCCATTTTTGCTTGGTATATTTCCAATGGCGGAAGTGTTACAGTCTTGTCGCCTCCTCCCCCAAACCGTTTCAATCCATCGGGTTTTACGTCTTTCCAGGTGATCGAGCAACCGATAATTAAGGGGGCTATCGGGCACGACTCGGTGTGCCACATTGATGCGGTCCATCCAATGGTGAAACTAGCTGAGGACTTCTCTTACCAATTATGGCCATATGACAATAAGTCGATCTGGATCAATAGGTTTGGGTTGCAGACCTGGCTTAGGAATTGGCGTCCCACACACCAACGTGAAGATATGTTACAACTCGAGAATATGATGGATTTGCGCGATGGCCCGTCACAGTCTGCAATCGTATCAAAACCGTTGACTATCAAAAATGTAGGTCTGAAAAGGTTTGCTGGTTGAAAAAATAACGCCTCCGGTCACAGGCTGGATTATACAAGCAGCGGCGACTTTCAGTTGTACATGTTGTGCAAGGACTCGAACCAGAGCACTGTTTTGGGTTAGCTCTCTCCTCGGATAGATAGACGATATCTTTAACCTTGGACTTTTTCTTCTGACACTCAGTACAGGCCAGAGAAACTCGCCGCTGTTTTTTCGACGATTCATTCTCGAAATACTCCATGCGAGTTGACCTATCCCTAGGCAGGAGCTCGCGCAGAAGATTGTTCTTTGACATTGCGGTATCAGATGAGTGGCAGGCGTTTTAAGGATAAGGATGTTTAGATCTCAGAGTCGGCTATGGAAACGTGAATTGTAGGAGAATCAGTGCGATTTAAAGAAAAGTTCAGGTCTTTTTGTTTTCCTTTCATATCCTTGCTCGCAGTTTTCTTTGTTTGCTATGGATGATTCTGTCTAGCAAACAAAGAACCCATCCCTATGACCCACATTCGGGGAACGGTTGACGCGAATCGTAGACGAGTCAATCTAATCCCGGTCAACTTCGGTTCTGAAATGAGGCTAACACCCTCAGCCAATGTAAGCCTAACTCTATCACAACAAGTCTGCCCCGGGCCATATGCACAGCCTCGTTGCACAGGGACTGCCGTCCTAAAAGAGTAGGGAGAATGCGCCTCAGTGCACAAAGGTCAACGATGGACCGACAGACTATGTGCTGCAGACCAGATGAAAAGTCATCATCTTGAGCACACTGATCGGAGATGAGGGGAAAACAGGGCTGCATGCAATTACGGGATCATAGAAGAATTGACTGACCAATCGCTCGGAAAAGGGGGTGGCGGAGCTCAGGAGCTCGGTGATCTGGATCAGTAGCAAAAATGCCTCACCTGCGGGGCGAAGAGAGAAGAAAGGCGAAAAAGAAAATCTGAGCTGTAGGCTAGAGAGGGGGAAGCAGGGATCTATATACAACCACGTACGGGCACGCACAGCGACCGATGATGCTAAACCCAAGGGGTCAAGGCTAAACCTAAGAGGGAAATTCGCTGTCCCCCTCCGATATGGTGTAGTGGCTAACATCGCCGTCTCTCACACGGCAGCCGGGGGTTCGATTCCCCCTATCGGAGCTACTGTTCCAGTTGCTCGCAAAGTTCTTTTTTCTTTAAATTTTTTCATTTTTTTGCATTTTGTCCTTTTTCAAGTAATGGGAATGTCGTTGGTCCTAGTGGAATCAATGAGTCACCGAGGCCAAGCTACGATCGCATTCTGAGTCATTTTCATCCCTATTTCCGCCCATCACTAGAAGTCACACATTATCGCTCTGTTTAAGACTACACATAAATCGTTCCAATATCGCATCTTCAGCCGGACAAGACCGAGGCTCGTAAAAGCGAAAGCGATAGAAAAATTATTGTGGTGATACATAAATCACTCCGGTTCCCAGGTTTGGTAGTGAAAATCAACTCGAAGATCCCGGGATTCTTGAATCATTGAAGAGCATGGCTTCGAATAACCCCAGCGAAACAGATGCCATTATGACTACGGGACGAGAGGCAGCCCCATATTTATCAGAGTCAAGAGGGCTGCCTCAAAACTCGCCTCGCAAGCGGGAGCAGCGAAGTGTTTCGCCTAAATATGACCCCAAGACTGGCGAAAACAGACTACCCCCGGCTCGAGGTAGGTAGTTTGAGACAGGTATCTCACGATCTAGGGAGCACAGACATTATTAATCGCATTACCTGGGATTCGTCATTTGAACGCAGCAACTATATCATTGGATTCGTGGACCGATTTAAGGAAATTGTCAAACCTCACATATGGCCCCCCTAGGCCATAAACAGGAACCTTGGTTTTTGTAATGGTCTAGTGGAAAAGTACGCTGTATTTCGTTCAACAGAAATTACCATGGATAGTTGGAAGAAGGAGACAGCCGACGAGGATTTTATTCCACAACATCGGGTGTTGTATATTAGACACACCAAGGGGGAAGTTATTTTGGGATCGAAGGAGACGTGTTGACACAATCTTTTTGATTGGAAACTCAGCGTTCAGGGAGTTGGCCTTTCTCGCTTGAAGTTGTACCTTCCACCTTTGCATCTTTGAAAATTCGCATTTTCGAACCTTCCGCAATTTCTTTTGTTGATTCTTTTTTCTTCCACGGGGGAGGGGGAGGGGGGCGTGCCTTCTAAGGTCCAAGGGTCATCCCTCGTCTCATCTTATAACATTTCAAATCTCATCACCTCATACTCAAACCAATTATCACATAAAATGGATCATTCTAAGAAGAAATCGTATTTGCATAGTTTGACCACCAACATTCCCCTACTGCAGCAGTCCATCAATGCATCGTGCAATGCTTTACCAAGAACCCTCGATGCCGGCGCACCACCGATTATCATGCCCGAGAGGCCAGCGAGAACTTCATCACTGTTCAAGGAAGACAAGCACGACGAAGAGAATATCATGCCTGTCACACGTCTTGCGTCGGAGAGCATGCCCATCTATCATTCCCTGAAAAATGTGGACGATTCGCCGTTAACAAAAGTGAAGAAGTTGTACTACGAAGACGCATTTACGGCCCGTGGATCACACAACTCCCCCAAGGACCGAACAATTCACGAATCTGTCATTGTTGTTGAGCTCAAGACCAACATCAAAGTTTGTGACGTGTTGATATCTGCTCGATGATCCCTCTCTATTAACCCACCCATCAACTAGGTAAAGGATGATGTATCCAAGTTACTATCGGATTTCGCCCACTTCCTTGCCCAGGTCTATCAGCGTCCGGAAACATCAATGCTAGTAACCATTGACCAGAATGCTCACCTGCTTTTCGGAAATATCTCTGGCTCGGCGTACCTGTTGAAGATCACGGCTCTCTCGAGTTTGATCGGACCGCTCACCAACCTCCGCAACACGGGTATAATCCAATCAACCATCCAAGAAATGTTTGACATTGGGCCCGACAGAGGCGTCGTGATATATACTCCAGTGAGCGAAGACAATCTTGCAACAAATGGGATGACCACTAGGAGTGAGATCGACCGCCTCGAACGAAGTGATTCTAGTAATAGTCCTTCGATCCTCAAGTCCATCTCACGATCCTTGAGTCGTCGTATGAAATCGAGTAGCGGAAATAGTGTTCCGATTTCCCTCACTTCCGTCATGAGTCCTGATGTCGCAACGCCTACTTCAACTTCGCCCGTCACGTTTGCCTCAGGTCAGCTTTCTCCGCCGAAGCCACACCAAACAGATGCAAAAAAGCCGATAGAGTCACCAAAAGGAGAGCCAACCCAGCAGATCTCTTCCGTGGATGAGAAATGCGAACGAAGCCTAAAGAAAAGAGAGAGCCTGAAGAGTTTTGTCAACCGTCGTTTGGGCGAATTGGGCGAGATTACCACAAAGAAGCCATTCACAGTGACAAAGAAGAAGGCTTGACTTCCGTTTGAGAATCCGAAAGTGCAATAAGAAAAGTATTTGCTTGCATTGGGGTATCCTCTAAAAAGGGCTTTGGCATGTGGTTTCGCTGTATCAAACCATTAATTCTGTATGATTGTACCATGCATCCTTGGCCACAGTGCATCGAGTTCAATGGCCGCTTTCTAATATAGCATGCATTTGCCCCTTTCACTTTCATCCTTTCCAATCATTATATACATATTTCTTTTGAAATTGGTAAAGATGCGTAGCCTTGTGGGCTTCACATGGGACCGTGATAGTTTGAGAAAACACCCAAATCTTGCTCTGTCAAACTCTCTTATGATCTTCCTATTAATATTCTCCTCGCATCCCTGAGCTCTTCCAAGGGAGCATGAGTAAATTCTAGTTTCTTCGTTTGCTTTCTCTGCCCACAACACAGTACCATGTCTGACCGGGTAATGACCAGGTTGTCGCGATTGGCTGTACGGATAGCAATGAGTCATTCGTCCCGATGACATCGTCTTTCCCTGTTGCTGTTAGCTTTGTACAGGAGACCCCTGGTGATCTGTTTGATGCCCCCAATGGTGCTGCTCTGATCCGTGAGAACCCTCTCCTTCCTCCGCCCCCCCCTTTACTGACTCTTTAATATATTTAGATTCTTAACTAACTTCTTAAACACTGTAGATGCGTGCAACTGTCAGGGTGTCTGGGGTGCAGGCATTGCCCGTGCATTTCGTGAGCGGGTTGGTCACTCACTAGACCACTCACCGTACGCAAAAACCTAGAGCTAACAAGACGCTGTTTAATAGTATCCCACTGCCTACGAGATCTATCGCAATCACTGCCTCACTTACCGTAGCCACCCAGTCACCAAGATGATCACCGACCTACGCGATGAGGACCCGCTGCCCTCTCTCGTTGTTCCCGGTCCCCTCGGCACCGCTCTCCTGATCCCACCCCAGAAGAGCGACTTTATATTACACCGCCGGCGCCATTGGATAATCTGTCTATTTACCTCGGAGAAGTATAGAATGCGTGTCGATTCGGAGGATATAATTGTCAATAGCACCTTTGCTGCCCTACAAGACCTGAGTAGACAGCTACAAGTTCTTCCCCAGCAGGCTTCGGAGACTGGTAATGAGCGACCACAGAGCATTTACTCCAGTCGCTTCTGCACTGGTTTGTTCAATGTTCCCTGGGAACGCATTTGTAAATTGATCAACACAGTCGGTCTCAGTGTCAATGTGTACTACCTACCCCTTTGAGGCCAGAAACCGCCGCCCTCGCCCCATTCACATGGCGCGTCCCAGCGAGGTTGAACAGGACTGAATGAAAATTATCTACTTCCTCCCTGCCAGCAATGGTTTCGGATTGTGGGTTTCTACCTGGTGTGTTGAGAAGTAGCGAGGGTTTAGCGCATCACATTCATTTTACGATGACAATTGAGACCAGTGATCTTTGAAGGCATGTACGTAACTGCGGTACAAGAAAGAACCAAAAATGGAGCGAAGACGAGAAAAACAAGATCCAAGCATGTTGTAACTAGAAAAGTAGGGCCTCTCCTCATCACCTGATAGCGCGTACCGTAGAGAGCGCGCGCATTGGGGCATTTCCCCAATTCTCCCAAAATCTCGAATCACCACTTTCACCATTCCAACCTTCACACCCATCGCACACCTTCCACAGTTATCTAAGATACCAAAATGCCCGGCGAACCTCAACCAGCTCAAAAGCGCCCGCGTCTCCCCTTCAAACCTCCTAGTCGCACGACTAGCGCGGGATCATCCAGCTCCGCGCCGAAGGCCAAAGGAAAAGCGAAACAAACCAGCACAAAAGCCTCCGCGTCCACAACCGTGCCCAAAGCAACAAGAAGCAAACCCACAACTCAAAGCAAGTCCATAACCCAGAGCAAATCCACAGGCGAAAACAAATTTACAACCCAAAGTAAATCTACCAGTATTGGGAAACGTCCCCGATCTGATTCTCCGGCAGCCAATGCCAATTCTGCCTCCGAACCCGATTCCGATTCCGACTCCAATGGATCGAGCCGCAGTCGCTCGCGCTCGCTCTCTCAAGAGCCGGACTATATCCTTGCTGAAATCACAACTTCAACCCAAACAGAAGATGTGACGTCCAGCGATCCAAAAATACCTTCAAAACTGCTCACACGCCTACTGCACCAGCATTTCCAGAGTGAGAAGACCAAGGTCGCGAAAGATGCCAATAAAGTTGTTGCAAAGTATGTTGATGTCTTTGTGAGGGAAGCCATCGCCCGAGCTGCTTTTGAGAGGGCTGAGTCGGACGGAAATACTGGGGGCAGAAGTCTTGGGGACGGGTTCCTCGAGGTAAGTCTTCATTTTTGTTTCCTACAATCACCTATTCTGGCTTTCTGATCAGTAATATAGGTTGAAGATCTTGAAAAAATGGCCCCACAGCTCACGATGGATTTCTAGTCCCTGCGTCTCTCCTATGAATGGCCATGGCGTTGGTTCAAATTTATCATGTCATAGGGCTTAATGTTTATTGTTCAAGATACCACAGCATTAGCAGAACGCATGCGACACTTTTGATCCAACAATATTCAAACGCAAGAGGCCTGCAAGAGTGAAATATCCCTCGGGTTCATATACTCAGGTGGCTTGCCCACGGTATGATCCTCCACAAAAGGCGGCACAGCCTCAAACCCATTGGCATTGTGAAAAAGTGCAATATCTCTGTTAACCCTCTTCGACAACCACGCATTCGCCACATAGGCCGTGTTCTTTTTGCTGAGATGAACAACAGCAACAGGAAGCTTGTTCTGCTCGGGCAGATGGCCGAGCTTGGCGTCGTATGCCGTGTGGCAGATGTCGAAGACAAAGAATACCCGTGTTTGCCACTTCTGAGCTGCCACCAATTTTGTTGCTGGGTGAACTTCTTGTGTGATATAGAGATGACTTGCTTTGAGGAGGCGGACAGCTTTTGGCATGAGGGCCTCTGGGTTGCTTAGGGCTTTGGAAATCTGAGAACTCCGGTGCGAGACGATGACTAGGACTCGGAGGGGGTTTCCCTGGGACATCCTGGGCTGGGGACGTGAGGAGTAGTCCCTTTGGAGGTTTGCCTGAATGAATTCTTACCGAGATAGACAAGAGGGAATATTGGAATTGTCTCTACGCCTTTTCAGTAATCTCAAAAGGGCGCACTGCTACCTAGGAAGATTTCCCAGAGATCTCAAACAGAATTTAAATATTAATTTCTTCTTTCTACAGATAGGAGACACATAGGGGCAACGTCGGCGTCTTACTTGGACTAAATGATAATCTTCCAATGGCCCAACAGCCCGGTCGTTCAAACTAGAACGTTTGCCAGGGGGTGATCATCTGCCACCTTGTACAAAACATGTTGACAGCTAAGGCACAGGGGTCTTGCTTCAGCTGGATATCAACGCTGCCGGGTACCTGGTGACTGGGTTCTGAGGTCGGAACGGGACTCATGTGTCAGTCTGACATCAAATTATGTACAATGTAGCAAGCCCGCAGTATGCATCGGAAATGATAAAATAAAATCCAAGGAGGGAGAAGACGAAAAAATCCAGTTTGATCTAAACGAAAGCTGTACGTCACCAAGAATGTTGTAGTTCGTTGATAGTTGACGGAAGGCGGTGGCTGGTTGGTTTTCCCCCGCGTGTTTTGTTTCTTCGACACGTCCAGCCTAGCCCGAGAAGACCAATCTTTTCGCTATGGATGATGCGACGACCTCCTTGCTCACTGAACACTTCAGTTACACACCCTTGGTACGTCGATCGAGACCGATTTGCATTGACTCGTGCTGCACGCGCAACCTGCGACCTGCGACTCAGTGCCCACTCCTTGCAACCAGGAATCTCGCTGACAGCTCCCTAGTCTCTCATAGATGATATTATCAACTCGATCAACAACTTGATCTATCAAGCGATCTCTAGCTTGGAGTCCGGACTCCTGAATACGCCGCCTGAACGGCTTGGCTTCTCCCATGACAGCAGTGGTCCCAGCATCGCGGAAACAGACGAGGATGGCAATGTGGTTTATCCCGAGGCGAAGCTAGAGATTGAGAATGGACTGCATCAGCTGGAGACGCTGCTAGAAGCTAATGTTGATAAAGCCTTCGATAAATTCGAGATTTACGTCCTTCGCAACATTCTCACCGTGCCCGGAGACCTGCTCTCTTGGGTGCGGCTGAAGCATTACGAGGTATGCGGAGTCATTTAAATGTATCTGGATTTGATTCTGCTTGATCCTTTGTTAATAAGCATCGTGCTAGGGTCTCTATTTTGGATCTTCGCCAGACACGCCGACGCCAGAAACAATCCATGGGCAACGCAAGAAGTTGATCGAGACGAAGAAATTAAACCGGTCCTTGAAAGAAGAACGCGCTCGAAATGACGCGGTAATCTCGCAGCTGCAATCTATCCTCTCGGCAGTGGAAACAGCGAAGGCAGATGGTGTGTCTAAGACGGCCGAAAACAAATCCGTCGACTTGTCCTTTTTGACCTCTACCCCAGCTGCACGCCAGCTTCGTGTTGGAGTTGATACTGGGCCAAATGCCAAACCCACTCCTCTTACAACCAACACTACTTTCATTCTCTCGCAGCTGCCCGCGTTGCAAACGACACTTGAGCAGCTCCGGCCGAAACTGGCAGCCTTGCCCAATTCAACGGTGTCAATGGAAACCAAGTCTAAGAGAGACGAGAGAAAGGAATATATCGAGAGCAGAATTCGCCTTCATCTGGAGCGAGCTGGTCAGCTTGCTATGGGCGACGATGGAAGCCCAGTGGTCGCAGGTCGCAGAATCGACATCAGAGAGGCCCACGCCCTTGAAAGCGTGGCAAACATGCTTACGCAAGACAAGTCTGTGTAAGAGGATGTGCATGTGAAAACTGTTTTGTTCTACGACTCTATTATTGAACAAGTCCTAGTCGGGTTACTAAGACCAAGTGATGCTCCATGTCTCCTGGGTCTTTCTAAAGGGGACCACGTCAATCTTGTCTGACTGAAGGATCTCCGAGATCTTTTCGCCTTTCCTCTCAATGGTGATGAATTCATTTTTCTCCTCCGGGAGGCCATAGAAGGCCCGCCCGAACTTGCTCATGAAACACTCGACAATCTCTGGCGTGATCTCGTGCTCCTTGAGGATACCATTATCACAGGCCTGCTCAAAGGCATCGATCACAACTTGAGTGGTGTATGGTTGGGTGAAGACGCCGGCAGCGATCTTCTCGCCACCACGCTTGGATGCCGCCGGGTGCGGGGCGCTGTCCGAGCCAAAGAAGAACTTCGGGTTTCCTGAGACAGCAGCACGGAGAAGGGCATCACGGTCGGCCGGGGTCTTTGCGACGGGCTTGCAGAAGCAGAATGGGTCGCCGGCCCACGAATCGATGATAATTGATAGGTGATGAGCTGTGATGGTACCAGAAACCGTTGGACCACACTTCTTTACTGCCTCCACAGCCGCAGCAGTGGTGCAGTGCTCCAAAACTATGCGCAGCTTGGGGAATTTGGAGTGCAGCTCAAAGAGCTTGGGAAGGAATCGCTCTTCCGCGGACAACACTGTCACATCGCCCCCGGAGGGACTTTCTCCGTGCAGGTTCAGAATCATGTTTTGTCGCTCCATCTCCTCGAAGACAGGGTAGAACTGCGTGTAGTCAACCACGCCGGAAGAGGAGTTGGTCGTCACACCGGCCGGGTAGCTCTTGACACCACTGATGCCCCGCTTCTTGGCTTCAATGATGGTCTCCGGGGTCACAGTCTCGTGGAGGTACAGCGACATAAGGAATTTGACATTCGGCTCGAGGGCTTGGAGGCGCCTCTGGTAGTCTAGAGCACGGTCGACGGTTGTGATAGGTGGCACAAGGTTGGGCTATCGAGTGTATTAGACTTAGCTCTCAAAGACAGGATCTGTTTCTTCAAGCAAAAAAAACCCTTACCATAACAAAAACGGTGTTCACACCTCCCTGTCGGATAGTGGGAGTCACCAACTCCATCATTGGACCATCGCGAAGATGGACTATCTTTGGTCAGCTTGCATCTAGTAATTCCCCGGAATCGTTCAGTACCATGGAAGTCGGCCGAGGCGGAGAGCTTTGCTCCCTGCAGCTTGGAAAGAGGCATTATTCAAAATCAAAGCCAATCAAGCACCAATTGCAACGGTGAAATCCCTGAAATGCCGATAGGTTCAAAGAGAATGGTCAATCTTCACTTTTGCCCCGCCGTTTCTGGAAAAGTTCTGCCAATGGCGGTGGCGACCCCAG